TACAGTAGAGCAGTTCTGAATACTGTTGCTTCTTGTATAAGCAATGAAATTAAGGGATTTTTTTTACAGCTCTACAGCAAATGGACCACAGGTCCCTTGGAAACAATTCTGGCAATTATGGGGCTGCAGAAATGAAAATGTCCTGACTGGAGCTGACTATGCAGAACATGCACATTTCTTTCCGTGAGCTGAGCCGCACGCAGCATCTATTCTCACCCACATCCACCTTCAAGCACCGGCAATCTTCAATTTTCTTCACAAACTGCACATTGTCCATCCAGTACACACACACACACACACTCACACCTTCATGAACTCTGGTGAAACAAGACTGCTCCGAACGCAGAGACAGGAGAGAACAAATTACAGCAATTACAGCTTCGCCAGAACAACTCTATTTGTCTTTGTGCTGTATTGATTGTTTGACCTCTTGCAGACTAAGAAACTTCTTATAAGACGTATCTCTAACAAATTTCGTTCGAGCAGCTTTAACTTATTTTGCAGACACTGAGCAACAGCACACTACACTATCGATGCTTTTTTTTTTTTTTTTGTATTTGGACCTCAAAGTTGCTGTTTATCTATTGTTGGTAATGCAGGGGTAGATAGAAAAGTTTTAAGTCTTTTCTGGAAGTTTGTGGAGGAGCTGCACAGAGTGGTTGAGCCGAGTGCGTGAGAGAAGAAATATTGCGATGCTATTCAGCTGTTTTTTTTTTTTGGGTTTTTTTGGTCTTTGGCAAAAATGAAGTGACAACACAGTTCTGAAGACTGTGAGGGATGCTTTTCAAAGGAAAATTCTGTGTGAAAACTGTGCTGGAATCTGATGATATTAGCCAAGTTAAGAAGAAGTCTTTTTGTCATGTGTTTTGCCGTCTGCTCAGCTTTTTTCCCCTCTCTCCTCAGTTCCTTCTCTAAAGCCATGTAGCCTGTTGATTTACTACAAAGTCACTGAGTGTTCATTAACTACATTTTTAAATCAAGTGTTTTTATCAACACCAATCAATGTCATCTGTCAACACATTCATGTTCTTGGTACAGGTTTGTAGTTAGCCGCTGTTGATTAGCCACTACTTTTGTGGTTTGAATGTGGTTTGTGGCCAATATAAATATGTGAAATAAAAGAAATGGGTTAACGTTATACAAATGTACAGATAAAGTAAATACTAACATCAAAAAGCATCAATACCTTTACTTTAGTTTTTTTTTTTTGCCAGATAAGATGAATATTTATTTTTAAAAATGACCTAAATTCATACAGTGAATGTTGGTAGAGTGTGTGGAGCTCCATTTAGCTGCCTCTCTTTCAGGGGGCCACGCTGGTTCACTGCACGGCCGTGACCTGCATGAAGTAAACAGAGCCACCGTTAATGTTATCACTAACACCTGTACTTTTCCTGATGAAAAATGTCAAAATGGCTCTTGTGCAAAAAGCCCATTTGCAGTTGAGATGATGCACTCAGGCATAACAGTTCCATCCAGTCTCTCAGTGTATCAGGAGTGGAGTTTAAAAAAAAAGAAGCATTAATGCAGGGATTTTTAGCCAAAATGTGAACTGCTGTCGTACTTTTCTTCATTTAATCAGTTGTTCTTTTCCAACGCTTTTAGTACTTTCACAAGGTCATTTGTTGCTGGAGGAGCAGAGATATGAAGGTTCAAATGAGAGTCGCAGAAGTTGTCAGGATCCGTATTAACAATGGGAATTCTCTGGTTTTCATTCTCTGCTTCTCTGCTCCTCCAGGCTCTCATTGTTGTCAAATGTTTCCAGTTCCTCCAGGCTCTTCGGGTTGTCAAGTTAGCGGAGGGAGAAATCACCTTCTCTTTGGACTCTCGGGAGATGCAGAGGTGGTATCTCTGCGGAATGATGCAGACTGACTCGCAATTTGGAAAACATTATATGACAGCTAAGGCAAACTCTCTGGAGGACGCCCGCTGAATAATGCACTGTTCCATTTGTACCATTTTTTGTCCTCCCTACGCCGCAGTGGGAGTACATCAGGCCCATGTGCATCCAAAATGTCAACTCTTCAGGATAGTTTTCCATATTCTATTCCATTCGCTGATGAATTAGTGACAAGGTTTTTCACTGAGAGCAAAAAAAAAAAAAACCTATGGTAGAAATTACAATGTGTGTAGAACAGCCTTTTATCAGTGTTTTGATGCACGTTTGTGTCTCTGGAGTTTGTGTGCCCGTTTTTACAATCTGGAAAAAATGTGTCTTAAAATGATCAATTCTAATTTCACCTGCCTCGTGATGTCACAGAGCTGTTTATACTAATCTGAACCTCTGTGCCATCCACCCGTACTACAACACCCGTACTACAACACCCGTACTACAACACCTGTACTACAACACCTGTACTACAACACCCGTACTACAACACCTGTACTACTTGCATGAGGATCTGCCATTGGCTTAACTCGTAAGCAAATGCCAAACCTCTGTCACGTACTCCTCAAAGATGACACAGCACAGCATTGAATAAACATAAGTTACGTATATAATGTCAACACTTGAGATACCTGAAGTGGGTCTGACTCTGGCTCAAACATTCATTGTTGAACCAAAGCACATAACCAAAAAAAAATAAATATATTTTTCCTCGGGTCATTTAAGTGGGCGGGGCCTGTGATGCTCCTTCATCCAAAACATGTTACTGACATTTCATTACGTAATCCTGGAACTTTATTAGTTTACAAAATAAGTAACAATCCCCAACCAAAGTTGAATCAAAAACAACCTCCTCCCGTTTTTTTAAGCTGGAAAACATCTGTAACACAACATCTCAGCTGAAGCCTATAAAATGATCTCACTTTGTTCTAACAGACAGAACCCTTCAACACCATCCTTTTATTTGGAATGATGCATCACCAGAAGTAATTACAGTCACGACTGACAAATGGATGATTAATGCTGACAGCAGGACCTCCAGTCTATAAAACCATGCTTTCCTTCTGCTGCTTTGTACCATTTATAGCAGTCCCAACAACAAAGGGAGGTCCTTTAAACTTGCAGCTTATTTCGCAGGTATTACAGAGACTCATTTCATACAGACTTGAGTGTGTGCATCTAAAGGTAAGCCGGCTCACTTCACTGTATCTGTAATGCTAATGTGTTTTATGTGTCCTTTTGATCAGTGTACAAAATGAAGCCTTTACTTCGCCGACGTGTTTGGCTTCATTAGAGTTGAGCCACTGCCGTAATTGTTTTCACTCTCATTTCCAGTGCGGTGCAGGCAAAATTATTCCGGGGCCCTTTGAGGATGCCTTCAACAATGTGGACCGTGGCTCTCACTCTTTGTTTGGGAAATATTCTCATCA